ATAATTAGGACCCCATAAAAATCCAGGTAATCTGCAGCAGACTAACTCAATGGTTATCATAATAGCAAAAGAGCACAAAACAAAAATGAAACAGTACACTTGCTAAAATCAGCATATGGAAGGGGAACAGACTGATAAATTCTTCACCAGTTATGAGACATGAAAAGCAGTTACAAGGAACTACTGCAAAGAATGAACTATTTTCTCTTTCCTGAAGCGCATAATTAGGACCCCATAAAAATCCAGGTAATGATCTAGATGTCCAGTGACAGACTGCAATTCTAATAATGGAAATTCTTCATCCAGAGGTTTGCTTAGACCAAAGTAGGAAAAAATAGCGAGTTATTTGTTTTTTTTCCCCACCGGAATTTCCATTTTCCCCTTTTAAGACAAGGGCATATCAATTCCTACTTTGTCCAACCACTCAAGCTTGTCTTCTCCCCAGACAAGGCAGCACAGTCAACTATAAAGGGCAAGTTCACTGGAATGGCATTGAAAGATATGCAGAGCAAAAAGAAAGCCTCTCCCTGTTGAAAATGAATAGCAGGAAGACATTTCGCCCCCCAGTCAGTAAAATATTAGCATACATACCTGTCGAATGTAACTCCTTTTCCTACAAATACCAATGGGGAGTCACTTGTATTAGCACCACCTAAATAGTGAATCTCCAGAAAGATGGGAGGTTCAGCCGAACCTTTAGCTACACTCAGGAATGCTCCCATCTGTTGTGTTGCTATCCAAGACTCTGGTCTGGAACATAAATATTTATTTATTTATTTATTGTAATTGGACACTTTGACTAAGGTGATTTTGTTTGTTTGTTCTGAAGATATCACAATTCTTAAAGGTTTGTACACAAACTATGAATTGCATTTTAGTTAGTTACTTTGGAAACCGTCATTTAAATCAAACCATTATTACTTTTTTTGTGAAACAGAAAAATAGTGCCTCGAAGTTGCTGCTTGGTTTTTGTTTTGCCTTGTTTTAAAAAATAACAACAAAACAAACAACAACGAGTCTACACTTTTGGCATCAGAAACATTAAACTTTCACTTGTCCTTCAGTCTCTGAAGGCACATGGAGCAACAATATTGCAGCAGGTTACAGTTTAGCTTTCTGCTATAAGATGGTTAACTACAGGCAAAGCTGATTTCCCTCAATCCTTTGCTTTTCAACAAAACAGCCTCCAACACTTGCATAGCCAGTTAGCCCATTTCCACTGAAATGCAGTAACTAGAAATGCCAATTTAAATTGCAAATTCAATTGCAAGAGTTTTTATGACTGCATCTCAACATTTTTTAAAGTTAAAAAAAAAGCCCCAACAATAACAGCAATAAATAGAGGACGTTTAATTACCACATCCAAACAAAAAAGCAAAGGTATGTATAAAATCCACTTGGGGAAAAAAACAAAAAGTATTCCAAACAAAAAAGCAAAGGTATGTATAAAATGTATAAAGCGATCTACTATTTGCCTTCTATTCACTGAGGCTTCATCAGGCTCCCTCTTTCACAGCACATACTGACTGCATGACTAATTGACAGTTAGTTAATGATTTTACTGTGTCACAGTATCTTGCTTACTCTGCAAAGTAGAAGCTCACCTCCTAACATTGAGAGTAGCTTGCAGCCTGGGCACCCCTCATACCTTTTTGCCAAACACTTCCCCTGCTTCTGTCATCTGAAGTGGCAGAGAGAAGAGCCCACTGTGGATCTGAATAGCCTGTAAGGTATCTTAGCCTATAGAGGAATCATTTAAACAGAATTTACCTTATATGGACCTTCACATTGCTGAAACTTCTGAGCTTCTGTTCAATATGTTCAGCAAATTTGGTTGGAGTTATATAGTTAGCTGGAGCCTCCATAAGGTACCGAGCAAGGTTCTGACCCTCCGCGTAGATAACACCTTTTTGCCAGGCTTCACTTTCAGCACTAAACAACACCATACAATAATCAGGATCATAAACATTTGCAAAAGTAAGATGTCAGCATCCATCTGTTCTCTCCTGTTTGAAAATGCAGTATCATTAATTTGGGGCAATTAAGAATGTCATAGTAATCTTACTACAAGGAATTTAGGATGATATCCAAGGTGCATCTAGTCAAGTAGCTCATCTCTGGTTCTAGTCAGTGCCAAATGCTTCACAGAAAGCTAGAATAATCCTAGAGCAGACAGATGTAAAATTATCTAATACATTAGGTCTTGTCCTAATCCTTAGTAGTCAGAGACTGGCTTAAATCCTAGAGCACAAGGTTTAATATCCCTTCCAAAATTTGTAATCACATTAATTATAACAGCCCTGAAAGTTTTTATTTACCACACAGTCTCCAAGTCTGTTTTTCACTTTACTGAAATATGATTATATAGTAAGAGTGGAATTTGGATTTCATTTCACAGTGCACTCAAGGCACTTCACTAACGAATGAAAGAGCAAACGTTCGAAGAGCTGCCGCATAGGAAATGGGGATGTCTCTCTGGTTACTTTGCAATACCACCAGTACAAAGCCTTTCATTTTACTGAGATAGAACTGGAAGGCTTATTTGCTTTAAAAGGTATCACAAAGCAGGGCATTAAGCTAGATCCCGCCTCTCAGGAGCAACACTGTGAAGGATTCCAGGAGGAATAGCGAAACATTGTCTGAATACAGAGAGATGGAATTAAGAAGCCAAATTTCAGCTGACACTGAAACTGGCAAGAAGTAAGAAACAAAACAAGAGGACCTTTAAAAACAGCATTATCCCTGACCTGCCTTTTGCTGATGATGTACCTGTTGAAGCCCTCTTGTTGCCAAGTATATCATCAGCAAAACGAAGGTCAAGGATGATGCCATCCCGTTGCTAAATGGGGCAGACAATCTAGTGAACACTGGGAAGACTGAAGTTCTCAATGCCTGCTTTGCATCAGTCTTAATAATTATTAAGGTCTGCTTCCAGATTCCCTAGTTTTTTGTGCTTAGTAACAGAGTTTGGGGAAGGAAGGTACTACCCATGACAGAGGAATACAGACTTAGGACTGTTTAAGGAAGCCAGACATATACAAGCCCTTGGAAGCAGGCAGGGTATATCTGAGGGCGCTGAGGGAGCTGCCTAGTATCATTGCAAGCTTGCTCTCTTTCAGTTTGAAAGGTCATGGTAACTGCACGTGGTCTCTCGTTATCAGAAAAGGACAAATCCTCATCTTTAAGAATAGCAAGGAGGATATAGGGAATAATAAACCATTTATCCTAGACTACTACCCTAAGAGGTAATGGAAAAAGTCATCTTGGAAGCCATTTCCAGGTACATGAAGGACAAGACAGTCACTGTGAAGAACAGTCATTATAGATTTATTTGGGGCAAATCACGCCTGACCAACTTGACTGACTTTTATGATGAGAGGGCTGGCACAGAGGACCACAGTGCATGTCATTTACCTTGGCTTTAGCAAGGTCTTTGTGTAGAATCCTTGCAGACAAATTGAGAAAACAGGAACTAGAGGGGTAGACTGCGAAACGGGTGAAAAACTGGTAGGACTGTTGAGCTCAGAAGATAGCACACAACAGCTGAACGATCTAGCTGGCAGTTAGTTATGCATGGTGTTCCTCAAGGGTTGATACAGGGGCTGATACTTTCACCAACAACTTGGACAATGAAATGTACCCTCAGAAGTTCATGAACAGCATCACACTGCGGGGAGCAGCTGAAATGGGGAGGGTAGGGCCACCATTCATAGGGACCTTGACAGGCTGGAGGAATGCAAAGGGAACACCGTCAAGTTTAACAGAGACTGGCATAAAGTCCTGTACCTGGGACAGAGCAGCTCTATGTAACGGTCAGGCTGGACACTGACTAGGCAGAAGGTAAAGTTGCAAAAAAGAACCTGGGGATCCTCGTGGACAAGTTGTACAGGAGTGAGCAGCGCGTTACTGCGGTGACAAAGGCCAGCGTGTACTGGGTTGGATTACAGCACAGCCAGCACATTAAGGGAAATAATTATTTACCTCCTTGGCATTTGTGAGGCTGCATCTAGATACATCCACTTTGAGTTCCTGAATACAGAACAAATACTGATAAACTAGAGAAAGACCAAAGGAGGGGTAGGGAGTTGCAGCACACAGTATATGAGGAGAAGCTAAGAAAATTTGGTTTGTTTCATCTAAGGAAGAAAAATTTAGGAAAGATCTAATTGCAGTCTTTCCTCTACCCTTAATAGGGTTTATAGAGAAGATGAAGACAGACACATCTCAGAGCTGCCCAGTAAGTGTGTAAGAGACAATGGGCTCAAGATTCAAAAGGGAAACTGCAATAGAACATAAAGGAAAAATTCACCATGAACATAGTTATGCACTAGAACAGATGGCCCAGTGAGGCTGTAGCGTTTCCATCTCAGGAGATATTCGGAACTGGACTAGGCAAACGCCTGACTGAGCTCTGAAGTTATACGTAACTTCCAGGTTATCTCTAATCTAAGTTGGAGCTGCACTAGATGACCTTCAGAGGTCCTTTCCAATCTAAATAATTATATTCAAAAATTACTTCCAGTGTCATAAGTGGTCATAGGACCATCTATGTTTTCAAAAAATGTTTTTTTAATATAATCAGCTTC